GGTGGAGACGGTGAGCCTCCTTCCCCACGGTCCTTTCCCGGGTGGGAGGTGAAGCGTCCCCCACTCTTCAGGGCTTCAGACGGCGCGCTCTCAGGTCTGCAGCTCCTAAAACTCGCTTGCAAAACACCGTCTTACAATGCCTGCTGCAGAAACGCTCAGGGTCAGAAGTGCGTGGTTTCGCTTCTGTTTTCAAACCTGAATTTGTCAGGGGCCCCTGGCCGGCTCAGTCGGCAGAACGTGCGACACGATCCCTGTGGGTTCGAGCCCCGCGTCGGGCTCTTCGGACGCACGTGTGATGTCGTGTTCCCCCCGAACCCTGACGGCCACTCATCTTTTTATCTCTTTGGTCTTGCTGTCCCCGTGGTTTGGCAAAGCCTGTGTCTTTAAACTAAGCATCTCGTAGCCCTGTAGTCTTAAAAGGAGTTCTGTGCTAGAACCCAAAATTCCAGTGAGTGGCAGAGACGGCCTGCCCCTCGTGATGAGGCCCAACTCTCACGGCCGGCCTCACCCCGAGGAGGAGGGAGGCATCGCTGGGGATGTAGTCACGTCCCTTGTGGATTAGAGCTCAGGGGCCTCTGGGGACATACTCAGAGCCCCTGGAGGGTGCGGTGGCCAGCCCTCCCTGCCCCCTGTGGCTGGCACTTACGATGTTCTTGAAGAAGTGCACTACGGGGTTCTCGTCTTGGGGCCGGCCGTGCTGAGACTTCTGGGGCAGGGAGCCATAGTGGGCAGTTCTCGCCGCGTGATGTCCATCCTGAAAGAGAGAGTATGGTGACCTCAGGCCGGGTTCCGCCTGTTGGGCCTCCCTGGAAAGCTGCCTCTCTCCTCCTCTGGGCATCTAGATTCTGTTAAAAATTTTTTTAAACATTTTTTATTTTATGTTTTGAGAGAAAAAGAGAAAGACAGAGAGAGAGAGAGAGAGAGAGAGCAGGAGAGGGGCAGAGAGAGAGGGAGACACAGAATCCAAAGGAGGCTCCAGGCTCCAAGCCGTCAGCACAGAGCCCGACGCGGGGCTCCAACCCACGAACCGCAAGATCATGACCTGAGCTGAAGTCGAAAGCTCAACCGACTGAGCCCCCCAGGCGCCCCTAGATTCTGTTTAGACCAGGACCTCACACTGGGAAGTGGCTGACCCGGCAGGGGACACTCCCAGGGCATCAGGGGACCAGGAGCATCCCGGGGGTCAGGCTGCAATGTTCTGGGCTGCGTCTCCATCACCGAGCCAGGCTCTGGCTCCCCAGAGGTCACATACACACCGCACAGGAGGGCGGAGTCCACCCACGACGGACACGGGGCAAGCCGGCGTTCATTCCCCAAGCTGCTGGCATGGGTAAAAGAAAATACTCTGGAATTTTGGATCGGACCACCACTAACAGCAGAAGACCAGCCTGTCTCGGCTCCGGGGTGGC